CAAAGAGCCAGTGAAATAAAAGCAACTTGCTTTACTTGTATTACTGGGTTTTTGAAGGGGCTGCAAGAATCAAAATCATGGTATATTGCAGCACGAGAAGTAGGAGCAAAGGCAAGATAGAAAAGGTCTCAGTAACATGGGGGAGACTATATATAGAGAGAAACAAGGTAGAAAGTTGTGTAATTGGAGAATAGGTTAAGATGCATGTTCCTATTGGGTCTGGGAGGTGGTACAGGGAGGATCTAAAAAGCCTTAGACTCCAGCTGATTCCAGGGGACAAATAAAGAGAAAACAGGGATGGGTGTTAAGGTCAAAGGGCTAAAACTAGGGAACTGGATGGACACACAGAGTAGAGAGCCCCAGACAGCGCCCACTGCCCCTCAAAGGCCTCAGGAGAGCCAGTTAATGCCGCCCAGTGGAACTCTGCCTGTATGTGTGAATGGATACAGGAGCCGAAATAGACGCCACAGTCGCAGGCCCCTCCCTCAGCTAACCTCTGCTCCCTGGTCTTATAAATTGCCATCTTGGCTATAGCCAGGAGGAGGTTGATGAGGAGGTCCTGTGACTTTGTGGGGCCATGGATAGGGTGTACATAAATTACCCGTAAATTAGCATATATAACCCGTGGGTTATACACGTTTTTACAACCTTCCCCTCCCCTGGTGGGGTATACATGTCCACGGGGTATACACATTTATTTTTACTCTTGGGGCCTGGGGGCTCTCCAGTCCCCCGCCTGGAGGAGAGTGGGTTGTGCCTTGCTGCAGTTGCACGGGGTCTGGGGGTGAGTGCGGTTCCCCTCCTGTAGGCCGGCCAGCATGCCTGGGCTGTGCTCTCTGCTCCCCTGCCTGGAGGAGGGTGGGTTGTGCCTGGCTGTGGTTGCCCGGGGCCTGGGCATGAGTGGATGAATGCAGGACCCGCGGGCTATACATGTCCGTGGGTAATCTAAGGGTTCTTTTACACGAAAAAGAAAAACCACAGGTTATACATGGGTGCATGTTATACATGGGTGCAGGTTATATTCGCTAAACTGTAATAGGTGAGGGGAGAAGTGCAGCTAGAATCTCAACAAGGAGGAGCAGAAAGAGGGGCTGTAACACTCAAGATAAACTTGCACCAGGGTCAAGCTGCAAGCTGTTGGGGAGGACTGGAGAAAGCATCATCATCCCAAGCTTGCTTTGCTATTCCTGTTGGGTTAGGCTGGAGGATGAAAAGTATTAGCATGTGTAAGCTTTTTAAAAATTGTAATAACTTAAAGTTTATTTAAATATTTTCCAGATGTTCTCTCTTGAGTGAGTGTTTGGCCTTTCATTACATCCAGTCTCATCAGACAATCTTACTTTGGCCTGTGTTGCGCAAATACTGTCCGAACAACACTGTCACAGCAATTTGTAATTCATTTTACTGTCAACTTCACTTTGATTCTCCTTTACCGGTGAAGAGTAATAATTAAATCTATAAGGGTAAGTCTACACTACCCCGCTAGTTCGAACTAGTGGGGGTAATGTAGTCATCCGCAGTTGCAAATGAAGCCCGGGATTTGAATTTCCCGGGCTTCATTTGCATGAAGCCGGCCGGCGCCATTTTTAAATGCCGGCTAGTTCGGGCCCCGTGCCACGCGGCTCCACGCGGCACGGACTAGCTAGTTCGGATTAGGCTTCTAATCCGAAGTAGCTGTACACCTCGTTCCACGACAGTATTTCTGACTGTCACTTCTGACAAATCGGTGTCAATTAGTTGTATAGATTTGAAGGTAATGTTGGGGAAAGGTCAGTTTCCAGGAGATGGTATGTCAAATTTTCAAGTTGCTGTTGAAACTTGTTTTGGATTAATGAAGGGTACTAAGTGATGACTGCAGGGTTTTGGTGGGGTTTTTTATTGTCAGTACTACATTCTCAACCTTAATTTGCAAGAGAAGCGAATAGTCAGCATTATACATTGATGGAATTATGTATTACTTTTTAAATCCTGAGTTGCATGCAGTTTATATCTAAGGTTGACATTTCAAAGAAACCATGCTTATTTACAACATTTTGAAATATTTCAACATGCAAGTAAATTATACTTGGTTCTGTTTTACTTCTCTTAGAAATGTGGTCAGTTGCAAGTGGCAAAGGACTCCTACAAACCTGTAACTAACCTACAGATGAAAACATAAAATGTGTATCCTGATATTTCCTGATATTTTCATACCACAGAAAGCAATTTTTTACACTGATGAATTTTAATGTTACATTAATCTTTTAGGAAAGCTGTATACGTGCACTTGTCTCTTTTTTTTATCTAGTGAGATTCCTACATTTCCATGCTGATCAGTTGCATCCTTCACTCCTGATTACAATACACACCCCAAAATTATAAATAATAGCACAAGACTTTTAAAGGCATGATTCTATCACAAGTACACATGAAGCTTAGAGAATAAGAGCCAATGAAACACCTTTGCTACATGTAACTTGATAAGCTTTCAATGAAGATAAGTAGGAAAGGAAAAAGTTGTGCCTTGGTAAAGTGATGCAGTAAATAACATTCTTTATGTTTAACTTGATTTTTCTGAGTCTGTGACCCATAAGAATATACCCCTGAAGGCCCTAATACATTTCAGTTTATCTTCTCATAGATTGAGTGTCCAAGTAGCCATCACTATTTTGTCTTTGCTCAGCTTTTTTTTTCAGTCTAGTCATGTTTTGTTTTTTAAATCTAGAATAGTTGAAAGCTTTGTGAACTGTTTTGAGATCTCTCCACTCTGAATGCTCCACCACTGGATTTTTTTTTTTTTATTCAAGAAGCTGATTTTAACGAAACTTAACTTCACAGAATTATTTATTTCGTCGTGCAACTATGAAGAGATGAACTAAGATGTAGAATTAAAATAATGGATAGGTTCAGGTTAAAAGTTGCAATGAAATTAGGTTTTAGATTTGCCTGAGCCAAGATATTAAGGCATTGTTCAAGTCTGAACTAGAAAAAAGACATCTTTACTATGTTGAATCTGGTCTGGAACTTTTAATACCTTGGTGATGGTATTTGTATGCTTGCTGACATTTGAAAGGGTCCAGGGTCTTGTTTTTGCCTTCCTCCATTTAACTGGTGACACATCGCAGCTGTATTCCAAGATTTCAGACCAGCCATATTTCAGAATATGCCTTCTTACTGTAATCTCCGTTCCTGAGCAAGGGATGTTAAGATTTGCCAGTAGACAGGTTAAACATTATTTTTTGATAGATGCCTGCTAGGAAGATGAAGAGCTTGAAAATAAAATCCCTTTTTGGGACTAGTAGAAAAATTCCGCGGGAGGCTACGTACAAAACTACATAACTGAGTAGTCCTCACTCAGGATGTGAAAGTTTAACCAGTAAGTCTCACCCTTAATGGATGAGGCTTACCAGTTAAAATTAACCGGTGCGGGTGGGGCACCACGGACAGAGGCTCTATCCGTGGTGGGCCCAGGTGCCCTGTAGATTGCAGCTGCTCCAACCGGGATGCCCGAGCAGCCCCTGCCTGTGGGGTTCCCTGGCCCGCTGCAGGCAGAGCCTGCCCCAGCCCGACTGGTGCAGCCCCTGTCTCTGGCCATTGGTGGGGAAAGACACTTCAGCCCTCCCTCGCTTGCCTCCCCCTTTAATCGGCTAACCTGTTAAACAATATGTTTAACCGGTTAGTCAGTTAAACAGGATTTTTATATCCCTAATA